CCCCTTCTATCTGACCTGGCTAGATGCGGACGCCGTCCAGTGCGGCCTTCTCTCTTTCTTTGCCCCATGGCCATGGCAACTGCTCAGCACACACCATGCACGGCGGCTGTTCGACGGATTGCCGCAACGGATGGACCCCCTCTTCCTTGGCTCAGCATCTGGACTGAATCAGCTTCTCCGCCCTTGCCACGGACACGCCTGCTGGCATCATCGCCAGCTTCTTACAACAGAGGTCCGTCCCGTTCGCATTCACCCTGCACAATTTCTCTTTAGGCCAATATATAAATTCTGGCTTAGTTCTTCCATTACCAGGAATTTCAACTGCGGATCTAGTGCATGCACGGTGACGGTGTGTGTTCACCAGCAAATCAGTTCAGTTCTGCAGTTCTTAATTACGTGAAGCAAGTTCTTGTCACACACTGCCTCAGCCCGTGGACAGAGACTGAGCATCGCTCAAACAAAGGTGAGTGAAGCCTGTGCTTATGCTCATTCAGTTGTAAACTGAGCCATTGTGGTCTTCTGTCCCTACTGATTGCGTTACCTGTTCCCCCGATGTAGCTGCTACACAATTTGTTCCACTTGCGAGTACTTTTCTCGTCGATACTACAAATCCAACCCCATATGAAACATGAACTAGTGGCCGGCTGGTCCACGCTCGGTTAACCTGAAACAAATTAAGGGTCATCGATCGGCTCATCAGATCTGTGAGTTTCTTAATTAGGACCTCGATCGACTCCTCAAGTCGTAACTAGCTAGTCTGACAAGTGGACCCCACTAAACAATGTATATATGTGTGACGTTCAGAACTGCAGGCCTGTAGGGCGACCTCCATCCATCCCCAAGTCTTCTCACCTCTAAGTTTTGCTTAAATTAGCGATCGGCCAGTTGATTTAGAGCTGGCTCATAGCTAGCAACTCTCAAGTAATACTATACAGATTTATGAATTGTGCTCACCATTAGGTGAGACAAAGCGCACACATCGTTCTTATCTCTCTAATCAGTGCATGTACCCACCTATCCCCACTTGACAACTGATATGGATCAACTGGCTGGCCTGCCGGATTAAGACATTGGTGTGGCTGTAGATCCACTGGATCTGCGATACGATGCCTAGATAACTAGATATTGGACAAACTAATGGATCAACCATGGCCTGCTTGATCAAGATACTGGTCTCGCACGGTGCAGATTCATTGAGTAGTAAGGATTAAGTCCTGTTTTCCGAGTCTAAATATATTTGTTGTATCATATTTTGACCTGACTTGCAGCTAATTAATCTATCTATTAAAGTGTGAGAACCGGTTGGTACGTTACTTATCTGACTAGTTGCGTTGTTCCGTTGATGTGTTATTAGTATCATTTCCATTCTACCTTATACCGGATTGATAGCATAGGAGCACAAGTAGTTCAAATCAGTAGAACCAGCAACTTCAAACATAGCTTCAAAATGAAGCATTCAGTTACTACTTAAAGAGTTAAAAATCAAAGCATGTTTCTGAGCTGGGTCCGCCAATGATAGAAGTGTAAATTAATTCTTGTTCGATGTCATGTTCAAATCTCCTATTCCACATCAAATTCTTAGAGTTTATTACAACTGATTGCAGATCAAGCTTTTCTAAAACGAAAAGACATATGCCATGGCAATCACACAATGAATCAGGTATATACTCTCCTCGGCTCTCACCCGGCTTTATAGATAATGCACAGACAACAGTGCATGACCGAATGATACAAGGTATAGTGAGGTAGATCCCGAGATAACCGGACAACATAAATCGCACGCGACTACGTTGCCGAACAATAATACATGAAGGTCTGAATGCAATGCCACGTCAGGCCATAGGACACCTACAATCCACTACAATGCCCTCAAGAGGGTGGACGACACAAAGCGTCACCAATGTTGAGTTTGGAACAGACAAGGGTCTTCACCCGGTAACCTAACACAGATAGGAGAACCACAACAATGTCCTCAAGAAGCGAGCGGCACCAGCAGGTGTTGCCGTTGTCGGCGCCAAAACGCGGAGCTTTCGCTCGGCAACTCCTCCATGCAAGCGAGAAATCCAGGACAACTGTGACAAGCATAGACCTTCATATCCAGATCTAGGCACTACCACTGCCAATGATAGAGAAAAAGCCCGAGGCACCCACCGCTACATCCCTCGCCGCCCACACGACCAAGAGACATAGCCGCCACCACCACCACAATGCCCGCCGGAGAGCCAACCATCAAGACCGCCATCCAGGGCCACTGCCCTGGCATCCATGTCTCGAGACCCCGGCACCCATCCACATCACAACACACCAACCCCGACAGACCTAATAGCTGGTAACGGCTGACACCAACAAACCCCGACCATAGCCCACTGGCCTCGGCCCAGGCGAGCCTGCACGACCCCTCATTCGTGGCCATCGGGGCCAATCCATCAGATGGCGCACCACCACAGGCCCGACACCGATGTGAGGCCACTGCACCCGAGAACGATCTCCACCTCGCCGCCATGGTCCATGCCCCACGCCTCGACCCCGATGGTCCTCAGACACCAACACACCGCCTGCCAACGACCAGGCAATAGATCCGGACGGAAGCTAGCAAGTACGCCACTGCCCGGGGCACAACAGCCAACGATGGCCGGAACCAGCAACAGCAGGCGGCGCGCCCAAGCCCCGTCGACACTGCTCACCACGCCGCCCGCACTACACCGGATTTGAGACGCTGCCCGGCATGGTGCGCACCGCGGTCGCCCACGGGCCACGGCCTTTAGCTCCTGCTGCCAGTCGACTCCATTGGCCCGTGCTGACCTGTAGCAAGCAGGGAAAGAGGATGCGACGTACATACTCTCGAAAAAGGAAATAACAACAACGGGAAGCTCCTCCTTCATGTACGCCTGCGATGTCCTGTTTAGAGGTTAAATTTTGTCATGCTTACAACCTGGCACATGCTTCGTACCAACATATACAATCTGTAACCGCTGATACGATGAATCTTAAATCTTTTTAGCTGTAGCCAGACTTTTTTTTTTATGTTTTAACAAAAGCCTAATGCATTTTAGTGTTTTCTCAGAAGATTGTTAAACAAGGCAGGACCGATGAACAAAAGTACACGCGTGTTTCTCTCCCCTCCACCACCTCGTGTTGTCGTTCTTTCCCTCCACCACCTTGTCATCATCGCCCCCGTTCTGCTGCGCGACGCCTGCCATCCTTGCCCCGGCCAGTGCGCGATGGATCCCGCTCACTTCAGCTTCTCTTCTCTTTCGATCGAGCACACACTGTGCACGGCAGCTGTTCAACAGAATGTTTCAGCGGATCCTCTCCTTCGTGGCGGCATGCTCAGGTTGCATCAAATACCAATGATCCGTCTGTCCTTGCAGGGAATCTCCTCCTTGCTCCCAAATAGACACACTTCTGCCGAATCTCCCTCCCCCATGTCCCCTTGTTCACTACAATCTCTCTTTAGGCTGATTAATTTCTGTTCCTTCCTCATTAGCAGGACTTCCAACTAGGCATGGAGTGAGTGTACAGTGTGTAGTTTAGCAGAAAAAACTGAGGTCTGCAGCTTGAAGACAATGTCGCTGGAGTTCATCTGGAAGTTAGTTGTTGTCACTTACTGCCTCAGGCTCAGGGACGATGCAATGCACAGTCTGGAGTCGAGTGGGCATCTTTCACAAAGGTGGGTCAGGCTTTCTCACGTGACAAGCTCTGGTTAACGTGAACAATGGGTCGATGAGTTTCTTAGTTAGGACCTCTATCGATCCCCGAGTCTTCACATAACTAAGTCTGGCAAGTGTATCCAGTTCCCAGTTAACAATGCCTGTATCACGTTCAGACCTGCAGGCTCCGCTGATTAATTAGTAGGACCTTGATCCACCCCCAAGTCTTCTGACAGCTAATCTTGTTTAACAATTAATGTTCAGCCAGTTGATCGATCGAGATCTGACGAATAGCTAGCAACACTAAGGTAATACTTATGAATTGTGGGGATGGTGTGTTCAGTTGTTTAAGCCGTCTAGCCGGTAGGCGAGAGTTGACGCCTCTAGGGGAGAAGTGATGACGATGACGCCTGCATGCTGTATCGGTGACGCCTTCTTTGGAGTGGTGTGTGGGGTATCTGTGTGTGCCGCTCAACGGTTGTGATGGTTTCGCCTGGTTTCCATAAATAACTGGGCAATTTGGTTTTCGCTCGGTTTTCCCTAATTAATTGAGCAACCCTTTTCTTCTTAAAGAATGCAGGAATTCTGCCATTTCGAAAAAAAAGAGTTACCCATCGTCATTTGACAACTAATGGATCAACTGGGCGGCCTGCTTGGTTAAGAAACTATTAGTGGCGATGCGGATTCAGTGAATAGGCAGTCCATCTTGATATGATGGCTAGTTAGCTATATACATACCACAAATTTATTGGATCAACTGGCCTGGCCATGCATCCTGCTTGACGTTATTAGTCTAGCACGGCGCAGATTCATTGAACTGGGAAAGATTAACTTCATTTATCTGTAATGTGATGTCTAACTTAGCTTAGCTACCAGACAAATAAATTAGTTAATGGATTCGTGTACAAGCGGGCTACCTCCTGTTGCGACGTTAACAAAAGGACTTAACTCGTCTGGCTTTCAAGTCTTGTTCGAAAATACATGATAGTACAACCTACTAGTACTATATACTTCGTTACTCTGAGACACACCGTTTATTCAATAGTTAACCTGTCTCACATCTAGTAGTTGAGATAATATATCCTGATAATAGCTAACAGCTGGCTGCTCTCCTAATGTGAAGGCTCCATCAATCGGCTAAATCAATGTGATTTTTAATCATGACATGGATCCAAGACTCCAAGTACAAGTCTTGTATGCAGCTGGCAAGTTTTGTTAACCCTCTAGGTAGCTTTATAATCCGGTCCCAGTGCTGCTGCTGTTGCTGCACAGATAACTTGCTAGCTTCAGTTGAGGAGCTAGACAACAACCACACAACCTAGGGGAGGCAGAGAGACTTAGCAATTAGTCATGGCGGAGTTTGCGCTTGGGTTGACCAAGACGGCGGTAGCGGGGACGGTGAGCAAGGTGAAGTCGGCGATCGAGGAGGAGGAAAAACTAAGGGCGGATGTGGAGGAGGACCTGAAGTTCATCACCGGGGAATTCGAGATGATGCAGTCCTTTCTGAACTCTGCCCACACGGGGGAGCATGCATCCAAGAACCAGGTGGCGCGGACGTGGGTGAGGCAGCTCCGCGACCTGGCCTTCGAGGCTGAGGACTGCGTCGAGTTTGTGGTCCACCTCGACAAGGCGTCACGCTGGGACTGGGTGCAGCGCCTAATCTCACCCCTGATGTGCAGGGCAAGGCCACCGCTTCCCCTGGATGAAGCGGTCGCGGAGATAAAGCGGCTCAAGACAAGGGTAGAGTACGTAAGCCAGAGGTACACCCGCTACAACTTCGTGGGTACCAATGGTGGCGGCGACGGCGACTCCTTGGGTCAGCAGCATCAACTGCTTATGCACCCCACGGCTCATAGTACGGCGGCAACAGCGGCGGCCTTCCATGACTTAAGGGAGGTGTGGAAATCCATGGGAAAGATTGGTGAGCACATCACGGATGATCTAAAAAGGTTGATTGATTGCCAAGGCAGCGAGCTCCAAGTGATCTCTCTTTGGGGAAGTCCACAAGCTGATGTTGTTGGGGAACATGGGTGCATGAGTATTATGAAGAAGGCGTATGATGACCCAGAGATCTGCCAAGAATTCAAGAATCGTGCCTGGGTAAAGTTGAGTGTGCATCATCCTTTCAACCCGGTAGAGTTTCTGCACAACTTGCTGACTCAGTTTACTGCATCTCACCATCACCACCACCATGAGGATATGTCCGAGCTCATGCTCCAACTCAGCAAGCACAGGTATCTCATATTCCTAGAGGAAGAGTTATCCAGTGTCGCAGACTGGGATGCCATCAGAAAGTGCCTTCCGGATGGCAAAAGGGGGAGCCGGATTGTTGTCTCCACCAAGCACTTGAAAATTGCACTTGTCTGCACGGGGGACCCCTACCAAGTTTCCCAGCTTATACACTTGTCTCATGACCGAGGTCTTTATGCTTTTTTCCCAAAGGTACGTATATACTGTATATACGCCATTGCATGTGTATTTTATTTTTGTTGATTATGTTGAGCAGTTAGTCAGGACTTGCTATAGGATTACTCTACTAATTAATTTGTACTCCCTTTGCGCCGAAATAACTGTATATACGCCAACTGTACTAAGTCTAAGACACTTATTTTGGGACGGAGGGGAGTATGAATGTATGATACAGAATCATGACTATCTTAATTTGAGGAAGAATCTACCTAATAACAGCTCTTGTAATTCGATGGGCGCAGCAAAAATAGTACTCCCTCCATCCGGAATTACTTGCTGCCGCTGGAGGGAGTAGTACATTAATTATTTATTACTTGCTCGGTCTGCTCATCACAATAAGTGTCTTGGGCCACATGGTAGTTCGGAACCGTCTGATTGTAGACATCAACAATAGCATCATCAATCTTGGTAGTGTTGGTATGAGGCTGAGTAGCATCTGGGATAGAAGCCGGTGTTGCTGGTGGCATAGGCTCGATACGGGCAACCGAGATCTCGCTAGAGAGGACACCTATGCAGGCAATGTGAATGTGCATGTGGGAGATGAGGTTAGTGTAATTAAGACTGTAAAAAATTATGACTTGTAAGTATATCACAAAAGTTGTATAGAGATATAGGCATATACTCCATCTCTTCTGGTATATAGGTCCTGCGTGTATCCCTAAATCGTCAATTTTACCAATGTAATATGACTTGTATATCACAAAAGTTGTATCATTAGAAAATATAGCATTTGAAGTTTCTAATGATTTTTTTGTAATATATCACTCATAATATGCTTGTCAATTTATTGATCTATAGGGATACTGTGGGCCTTATGAACCGGAAAGGAGGTAGTACTGGTTGAGATGGTATATGTACAAGTACTATTTATTTGTTTGGCAATAGCTTTAGTTAAAAGTTAAAACACTATTTTGGGCTCGAATATGTAGCTAGATTTGTTTCTAATTTACAGCAAAGGGTTATTTGATTCTTGAAAAAAAAGCAAAGGGTTATTTAATTTATTCCATCTCGCGTTTATTAAGTAGTAATCTTCGATGGATACTTAATGGCACCAATCTGGGTTAATTAAATAGACAATCAATTTGGCTCAGTTTAATAAAAACTACTTAATTGCTGCAGGGCTGTGGGCATCGCCATGGCATGGGCGAATTCATTTGGCAATTAAGACGCCAGGGTGGAGTTATTGCATTGTTAGAACAGGATTTGGATTTGGGTGACAGAAGCAAGTTCATGAGTCAACTGACCAACGACACCCTGAATAAGTTGAGCGTACTCAATGGAGTGAAATTTGAATACAGCTACCGGAATATCCGTACACATGGATTCGCTGGCCAGCAAAATATGATGGTTGTTACCATGGCCACAGATATACTTGTGCAGTCTTATCCAAAAGATGACCAAAACAATGCATTTGAACAGCTAATGGGGATGAAACATGAGGATGTAACAGAAAAGTGTCGCAAGTTTCTGACTGAAAATGATTACCTCCTCTTTATTGATGAGATGGAGTCCCACGAAGAATGGGACTTGATAAACCGACAACTCTTATGTGAGTCTACTAGAGCTTGTATCATTGTTCTTACAAAAGATAACAGTGTGGCCACATATTGTGTAGATCATAAAGAATATCTGCTGCTCAACCTTAGAGATCTGATGATCAAGGTATGTCCATATCATACTATGTATAATTACAATAAAATAATAATAATTAATTAGTGCTTCTATGACTAGCCAATTAATTACGCATTCTCTACGTACATGCATGCGTACTTGCAGGGTTGTGACCATTGTGGATATTCAGATGGAGGAGACAACATAAAGAAAGAGGGTGAATCTGAACTTGATTTTGTTGGGCGTAGCGACGAGAAGGACTTTTTTTACGGCCGCACTCCTGATGTGAAGTTGCTGTCTGTGTGGGGGATTGCTGGTGTTGGGAAATCAGCTATCGTCTGGGAGAGTTTCCACGGCGAAGTGATAACAGGCGGATACTACAAAATGCACAGCTGGGTGGATGTGCCCCATCCTTTCAACTTGACGGACTTATGTCGGAGATTGCTTCTGGATTTTTCTCGGGATAATCTTGAGGCCCAAGAAACTGCATTAATTAGTATGATGGAAGGAAAAGACCCTATTCCGGGTTGTTGTAAAATTCTTCGTCAAAACGATTGTCTGCTTGTCATTGATGGTCTGAGGTCGAAGCATGACTGGGACTTGTTGAAAGCAGCCTTGTTTTCCCAGCCTGTTATTGGTAGAACTATTGTCATTACACGTGAAGAAAGCGTCGCCACATATTGTACTAATAATAAAAAAGATGATATTCTCAATGTGAAAGGTCTAAAAGATGATGTGGCCCTTAATCTCTTCAAAAAGGTAGGCAACTGGAGTACATGCATACCCCCCCCCCCCTCCCTCTTCCTGCA